CATCTCTTCATACTTGGTCTGTATACTTGTCCATCTGTCCACCAGAGTGACTGTTGTTGGTGAATTATTCCATTTATGTACCTGTAATGTGAAACTAAGAAGTAATTATTTGTAAATATTTGCCATAATTTTATTGGTCCTTCAGAATAAACATAATTTTTGAAGTTAAGAAACTCCGTCTGAGTTCTCAGCGCACACTTGAATGTCACTGATCAACTGTTTCCTGTTCTTGTGCGCGCAGGAGAGGGAGAACAGGGGCCCTGCCGCCGGCACAACAGAGCTACTGGTTGTTTGTGTCTAACATGTGACCCCCCACAGTGCCTGTTTCATCCTGAGGACAAACATCTCACTCCCTCCCTTTTCTCGCCACACCAATCCGAGTGAATGGAGGGTCCCAGTGCTGCAGCCTTGGCTGCTAGCCGAGTCCAGGAGGGGGCAGAGGTGCGTGTGTGTGTGAGTGTGTGCGGTGGCATAGAGGAGGAGGAAGGGGGGAGAAGAGTGATAATAGGACACAAGCCACGACATGGCAGCAACACGCCACACACACAGAAAACAGCCAATACCCAGCTTGAGACATAGACTAGTATGTCCGCAGATTGGGTGACTGCCCAGGACACCACAACAGAAAACGACACTTGTGCGTGTGTGTGTGTGTGACCAGAATTTGGGTCCTTGCCAACAAAAGGCAATCCAATAACAGTGTGGAAAAATGCACCATGAAGGAAGGAGGGAACACTTAGCAGGAAATAGGCATTCCTTTTCATTTCAGTCATCAAGCTCGAATAATCTGCTGAAGAGTTTTGGAGCACAAATTTGCCACGGAATCTAAATGGGTGCTCTTTTGTCATAAATTTATCTTTTATTTACTTTTTTTTAAAACTCAAAACCCCAGTGAGCCACCAGCAATATTTAAACACTTTTTTTGTTGTCTATACTACTTCGGGTTTTCCTTTGAGTAATTGTTCTGTTTTACTTCATAATTCATCATTTATTTTGATCAATTCACAAAATGCATTGAATGAACAGAAGAATTCCTCGCGGTACATTTGCGCACAGAGGGAACTCGGCTGTTGGGTTGCTCCATAAACCTTGGAGAAGTAACCACTGATGGTCTGTGGATGTTGGCTCTGCTCTGCCTCTTCATGTTATCCGAGACCCACTGATGGTGTTGAAGTCCAGGCTCTGTTGGGGCCATGCCATCCCTTCCAGACCTTTAGCGAACAAACTGCCTTCTAAAACGGTTCTTCTGATTTAAACAGTATGTTAAAATATCTTCTGTTCATAATGGACTGCACCCAATTGATTCAAATTATGCAAAAATGATTAAAATAGTTGCTTTAAAATCCAGAATAATCCAATGGAACAAAATTTTCCATTGGTATTGCAGTTTATTTGTTTGTCACACAGGGTCCAGAGAAATAGCTGAGTAAAACAGCTTTGCCAGTTCTTGTAAAAACCAAGGATTGATAGACTTTTTAGGATCGTAAGGAGGGTTTGTTTTGCTGGAATCCTCCTTGTTTAACCCCTTTAACATTGGACTCACTAGATCACATTTCGAAAAGGGGAGATGATGTCATGCTGCATGTTTCTGCTGCCTCAGCAGTCACTTCGGTGGTTTTCAATCACACTAACAGGGTATAATTTAGTTAAAAATGGGCAGAGCTGAGTGAGTATGAGCTGTCATCAATGCAACTTGGATTTAACATGCAACATATCATATTTATATGCATCAATATGTAGAGTATAAAAAATTCCCACTTGATTTCAACCCATCAAGGATGTAACCTACCTCTCGACCAAAGGCAAAATGGCACACTGAATTGAAATAAAATCATAGAAAACAGATAAATTAATGGTACTTTGTTTAAATTTACAAGAACATGCAAAGTTAAATAAAGATTAGCGATAAAGAAATTAATCTGATTTAGTTTTGTGATAAGCCAAAAATTGGGTGCAATTTTAATAATTGTTGGAATCGCTTGATTGAAATCTAAATTTTACATAGAACCAAGACAAAAGCAGAGGAAATAGTCAACGCATTCAGCAAATTATATCATCAAAGCAGAAAAAACTGTCTGGCAGAGCTAGTGTAAAAGCTGTCACTTCAACGTCTGGGGTGTAGTTAGATGGGAAAACCCTTTGATCTCCTTATTGCCTTCCTATTGCTTCAGATTACATAACATGAGTAACTACTGACATGTTCCATGTGTCCTCCTCAATTTCATCTTCCTCCTCCCCTGGCTTCCTATACAAAAGCAGAAGACAGACAACAGCGGTACTTATGGAGGCCAAGAAGTCATGCAAATTAACGTCAGTCAGCGTTGTATTTTTTGGCCCTCCAGAGCCCCTGTAGGCAGGAGGTGCGGGGCCAACTGAGCATAATTGGGCTTCAGATGATTAGGGAATAAGGCCTCATATACAGGAGAGAAACTGGGGAAGAATAGAAGAGCTACTGAGGAGGGATCAAGAATGAGAGAGCAGGTCTATGATTTAAATAATGTGAAAAAAGCAGAGAGAATCTGAAGAAAGTACACACAAAGGCAAAGGGTGGAGCGAGGCAAGTAAATACATGAGCTGCATGTTCATTATTTTCCACAACATTTGACATCTTTGCTCTCTTTCCAGTAAATCAGACGTATTTGTTCTTTACCCATCTTTTAGGTACAGAAACACAATAATAAGGTTGAAAATATCCTAGTCTGTATTTATGAATACAATTTTTCAGAATTAATTCAATTAATTTGGGGGGATTTTAGATTTTATTTTATTGATTTTTCTGTAATAGTGTAAGAGTAGTAGTGCTGTTAACTGAGGGTATTTTCTCGAGATCTGTCATGACGAAAAGAAACATGAGCAGTCACGTGACATTAAAACTTAGATCCAACAGTAGATGAAGAGCCTGGAAAAGATGGGCATGACCAGTGGAGCTGAAAATAGACCAGGTGCGTGTTCCAAGAAACGTTCAATTTCCCTGAGACTCATTCAGAAATTTCGTCATCATTTTGGAAAAGGAGGCCGTCCGCAAGAGCCAGTTTTTTTTTTAACATGGTTTCAACAGTTAATTGCAGACCAGCAGACCATCAAAGGTTCTGATTAGGGGAATATGCCAAACTCCGGGTTTATAAATCTGAATCTACCAAATAAATAATTGAGATTCATTTTAGTCAATTTCCTTTTTTCCTAGTCCCCATACACTGCAGCTGCGTGTGGTAACTTCTCAGTCTGCGTATAAAAAGAAAGACGTTTCCATGATCCTTTGGCTTGCCTATTTGAATCTTAATTTTAACATGCTGCCATTTAGGTTTTAAAACCCATTTTAAAGAGCAGGTTTAACCAAAAACTGAGAGAAAACTGCCATTGGTCAGTCTCTTTGCACACATTCTGACCAACAAATGCTCGATTTGATCACCATGCAAGTCAAGCACTTCCTGCTGCTCGTCCAATGAGCAGAAACTCTTGACTCTGACTCAGTAACAGTGAAAAATCTGCTCTGACCTTATCAGAGAAGACATTTGGACCTCACATAATGATCTATCACAAGTTTCTCGTTGCCCTTTCCAGCGCCATCCACGTCCGCGCACACACACACACACACACACACACACACACACACACACACACAGATCACAAATATGTAACAGTCAAACAAAAAAGGAGCAACACTTGTACGAACAGCTAATGTGGTCCGTTTTACTCATTACAATTTTTTTTACAGCTTGACCCATCACTCACAGTCCCCCCCTCACACAGATACTGCATGTTACAAATGTCAAACATCAGAACGGAGTTTGTGTGTCCGCGTGTGCGTGTGGATGTCCGACCATTGACAGGCATGGAAGCAGCTTGTTGAACTAATAGCCTAACTAATGTGTCTACATCCCCTCCCCTCCCTCTCTCCCCCTCTTCTCTCTGCAAAACTGACATCTCTGCATTGAGAAGAAAAGACGAGGGAGGGAGGAGAGGAGGAAACCGGGAGAGGGTGTGGGGCGAGAAAGGAAAAACGGAGGAGAGGAATGGGTTGACAAGCGGCAGCCCCTATCGCCCTCCGCTTTGACTCTGTCTGTCTCCCCTTTACTCCCAGCGGGTTTGTCTCAGAGGATGGTGCTATGATGAATAGGCCTGTCTGAGCTAACCCTAGCAGAGACCAATTAGAGAAAGAGACAAAAAAAGAAGAAATAGAGGAGAGGCAAAAGAAGAAAAAACAATTGGGGGAAAATGTGGTAAAGGGGGAGCAAAAGACAGAAGGAAAGGAGGTGGAGAGAAAGGGCAGTCAGATTAAAAGCTAAAAAAAGACATGGTTAGGGAGGACAGGGCAGAGTGCAAAGTTTAAATACATGTTGGGAGTGCAGATGTCTCAGTGTGTGTGCATGTGTGTGTGTGCGCGAGCTGTCAATGCCGAGGAAGGGCCGGCCTCCCAATGTTAACCTCGTCTTCTACTCTGAGAAAAGCTTTGACAGCAGGGATGCGCAAACAGGACCTCTCACCAATTTTCTATATATTCCTCCTCCGTCTTGCTCCTGATGATTCTGTTAGTCCCAAAACCTCCGGCTGTCAAACTCCTCTAGACGGATTAGATTGCGGCGACTTAATATGAATAAACACTAAAGTCGGACCAAACAAGTCACAAATAAATGCTACAAGTCCCGAGTCCTGCACATGGAAAAGTTTGCACTCACTCACACCTAAGAACACGTCTCTGTAGAAAACCAGCTATTGGTCACCTCAGATTTGGTGTAGCTAGTCCAGACTGTCTTACACGACCCGCAACACACACCTAAGGACAGCAGTACACATCTTTTGGGGGGGAAAAATAAAGAAAGCATCACATTACCTGAAGAAGACAATGTAGCCAGAGTTTTACAAAGCACTTTGCACGTTGGAATGATAGACAATACACACCTATTTTAAAGTAGAGACATAAGATTTGGGGGCTTTTTTTGTCTAACAAAACAAATGGAATCAATCTAGTTTGTGTCTTTTTTATTCTTCATGAATCTCAATCACATTAGCATCATGATTATTTGGTAAACACTATCTTAATCCTCCATTACTCAGATTCAGAACATCAGAAAACAGTGTAGGATCCCATACCATTCCCGCCCCCCTCTACCATGCAATGGTTCATCCTTCTCGAGGACTTTCCATAAATGACTTCCACCACCCTCCTCTTACGAAATGGGATCGACTCTGCCTCTCTTTCCTCCAGATTATCTGTCTGCCCCCCACCTCCGAATCACAATTACAAACACCAGACTTCCCATTTATCGTCAACAATTAACCGGCACAGACGCAGGCTACTTCATGAGCGGGGACGAGAGGGCCGGCTGGAGACGGCCGCGAGTGGAATGAAGTAGAGTCAACAGTCAGAAACAGAGAGGAAGGCTGACAGCACAATTAAGGTTTTTAATTCTCTGCTTGAGTGGGCCGGTCCGGTCTTTATGCTAATTAGGATGCCACGGCCATGTAATAAATCTCTATGATCCAGCCTCATTTCCCCTCCGTCTCTCTGTCTCATTCGCAAACACTCGTACATCCAATAACGTCGAAAGTTCACCCATCACTTTTAATGGCTGCACCCTTTGCGAGGAGTGTTAATAGTTTTAGATAAAATTGTTGTTTTTTTTCCCCGTGGACTTTTAATGCGTCCTGGAGGGCCCCGGCCTGTCTGCCGGTGCCGTTTACTGGTTGGGCGAGCATCAGTCGCCACATGTAGTTTCTCTCTCTGTTAGCTCCCTTTATTAGTGTTTTTCAGGAATGTGGTTTTCATGCCCTGCCCTGTTGGACTTCTCTGCATAAACACGCCGATAAGAAAAAAGCTCCGACAATGAATACGGGGCCTTCTGTTTTTCTTCTCCTCATCCTATTCCTCCGTTCCTCTCTTATCCCCTCATCTGCATTTGACAGACATGTCTAATGATAACATCTGCAGATGGGAAGCAAACAGCACAACAATCCGCAGATAATTGGGAGGCCACATTTAAAGACGACGAGAGGGGGAAAAGGAGAGGGATAGATAAGTGGACGACCGCGGGCCCTTTGTGAAAGCAGCAACATGCAGATACGTTTTCCAGCCTCATTTAGATCACAAGTTTTCCTTTTTTTTATTTTTACTTCATTATAAAAAAGTGACTCAAAACCAATTTAGATGCAAGATTTCATTTCTTCCCACTCTAAAAATACAGATCTACCTCAGCTTTACCTTCATTAAATAAATGAAGGTAAAATCCGGTCTTTACCAACTGCTGGAAGATTCTCCAACTCAGAGAAAAAGCGCACTAACTCAGAGAAACTCATCCCTGCTGCGCAGCCCTTCGACCGGCCGCTCTGGGTCTGCTTTTGGCTCGGCTCCCCTCCCGTTGGGTCGGCAGAAGCTTCTCCTTCGGTTTCATTTGGGTAAAGGCGTCGCCGTCGGCCATCTTGTGCGGCGCGAGGGTCAAAATGGCCACCGCCCCAAACACCAGGGCCAGGTGGAGCAGGTACAGGGCCACGTACAGACACGTCAGCAGGAGGGAAGAGCAGATGGAGGCGGCGCACCAAAGAGCGGCGAGAGGCAGCAGCACGGAGTGGTGGAGCGCTCCCAGGACCAGGGCCGGGAGGGACGCCATTAATCTGAGCAGCGTGGAGGTCAGCCAGGAGTACAGGGACAGAGGGGATAGCAGCAGAGATACCACTGCTCCACTCAGGGAGGCTGCCTGCAAGATACAAACGCAACAAACATTTGTCAGATATAGTGTAGATTAAAACTTTTTTTACAAGAATATTAAAAAAGGGATGCGATTGCAACCCCACGAACCTGCATGTCCACATATACAACCAACAGGGACAGGAAAGGGCCACTGTCAGTTACTAAATTAGTTTTTGTCCTTTTTCTTTCCACAACTTCCTGTCATCTAACTTTGATAGCGTGCATGAAAGTCATGATAGGGAGATCAGTGCTGCCACACTGAACCTGGCGTACGTTGGGAACCCATTTTAAACTCAAGGTAGTGCGTCTTTCTCCAACCAGAATTGTAACCCAAAGTTGTAAAGTGAAAACCATCTATGAACCCTGTGGGGAGTCTCTGGGCATGAATTAGTCAAAGACAGATAGAAAATGAGTTCTGTAATCACATGACTCAAAACTTTAAACTGATACTCATCATACATGCAAACTATTTCAAAATCAGATCTCATAGCATGGATGGTGTACAGGTGTTAAGGTACGCATTAGAATTTGAGACAGACACATGCTAGATCAATATGAATGCTTTTTCCAAATGGATATTCATGACTGTTTCTGCAGAACGGTGCCAGATGTCATTTTGCACAATTTTCGACTAATCCATTTCACATACAGTTTTTGTATTTGATGACTGAAATGTTTGTAGTCAGTATCTGTTCTGTGGCATGCTATGAAGAATAACAAAAGCACCCACAGACCGTTGAGCAGATGACACTCTGCATTCAGCAAGAGTAAACACAAATTCATCCAAGAAAAGTGGAAACATGAAGTATCTGCAGTTCATAGCCTACTAAAAAGATAATATGATAAATAAAGGCTACTGTGATAATGAGCAGCCTGAAAAAAAGTTCCCTTTGCATTTGTGTCCCTTGAATAAAATCAGATCAATTAAACCACTGGTCAATTATCAGAATTAATCTATGACAAATAGTTCTCTCTCCAACTCTCCCTCTCATTTTTTGCATGTATCAAAGCTTGCATCCTAATCTTTTCTAAAAAAGAAAGACTGTTGACTAAACAATGTGATAAAACAATGTTAAAAACAAAAAGGCAAGTATTTTTTTCTCAGAGCTTTCAGGAATTTGGGGGGCACTTGATGCAACAGCTGTTCCAACCAATTACAATTTACCATTGTTTTAATCCCCCCCCCCTTTTTAGATCAATGAATGGTCAAATGACAATAAAAGTGTAAAAATCAGGAGTGTACTGCACACTCTCCTTTTTTTCCCCCCTTATCAAGTCCAATATAAGCCTGACAACTTTCCCCATCTTTTCTCATCAACCTACCTCACAGGCATTTCCATTGTGACTTGACCTCTCAGCCTTCAGAAGCCCTGCAAAATTAGCAATTTACAGATAAACCGTCAATCCGCAACTGCTGGATTACTTTGGTCTGATGGTGTTCTTAGAAGAAATCAAACATCGACTCACAGAGAAAAAGCAGAACGAGCGCAGTGGCCAGCAAAAGCCTCATCTTTCCGCTTAGACCCTGGAAACTGTTAAGAGATGAAGTCAAACGCTAAATTGCTACAAACGGTCCAAGAATTTCCACATGATCCGGAGACATTGTTTTAGATTTTTATCTACCTGACAACAAATGTTTATGATAAAATAAGATTTCTTCTCACCCAACACTGCAGACTCACACTTTCTTCTCTCAGCCCTCTGTTCTATGGTCTGCAGTGTTTTTCAGATGGAGGCATGTAATCCTCTTTCAGTGAGACACAGGCTCTTTTGTTCTCATGACCAAAGTAGAATGCCCCAAATGAACCACACCAGAGTGAGTTTAGGAATATCAGCACCACCTGTGTGAGGGGAGGGACAATGACACGGGTCCATTCATACCTTCCACTCATGGGAGCTCTGGTGTGTATGATCAGAATAACTCATAAATAAATCCTAAAATAAATGCCACACGTCTAAAACGCACAGGAGCTGTTTTGGCCAAGCTGATGCCATTGAACATTACTTGTCCTCTAGCTTTCAGCCCAGCAGGAGTCACGTCCACCGGCAGAATGGGCCGAGGCCGTGTTTCTTTAACCGCTTCAACGCCAGCCTTCACCTCTGTCTTAAATAATTAGCCCATGCTCCACCTTCTCTCAGACTCCCATTAGGGTTAAACGTCCCCCTTATTATCAGCCGCAGCCACTACAGCCCTTCTCTCCCCTGCTGGGACACCAAGGATAAACCTGCCACAAATAAACACTCATCAGCTGCAACAGTCACGATTAAGAGGCGTTTTGTCTTGAAAAATGGGAGAGGCGGGGGGAATAAAGTACTATACTAAATCAATGTCACCATTTAATAGCATGGGGCAATTTCCAGTAAGATCGTTTGAATTTAAGATACTACAGGAAATGTTAATTTATTGGTTAATAAGAATCATCCTTTGTAGTGACTTATGTAGTGATACACCACTAATTTGAGTTCATACATTGTTTTTTAGGCTTGGACCGAAACATCTGTTCATAATGTTTTCCGTGAAGTAAAAGTTTTCATTTTGTCGCCGTTCAGCTGCAAATTTCTAATGATGAAAACAGAAGCTTGCATTTGGAGCCCAAGGTGAAACGCGTTACTCGACATCTTTCTCGGTTACTTCTGTTTGCTCGGAAACTGTCAGTCGCCTAAACCATCACCATCAATCTCTGACCAAAGTGAAGTGAAGCCTACAAAAACAAATGACAATGATGACAGAGTGTAAGCACACCGCTGAGCCGCTGACTGACAAATAAAGAAGCCAAGCTTTTGTTTTCGAGGAAGTAGTTTACAAATGATTTCTCTCATCTGACACGATAAACGCAGAAATCATTTATTTTGCTCCTTTTACGCTGTCAGTAAAGCTCTTACAGACACAAAGTGGCAAAGAAAGGCAGAAAAACAGATATATTAAAAACAGACACTTTACATAAGCGCGTAAAACATGATGACAACTGTAAACATACATTTATAAAAAATGAGAATGATGGTAAATTAGCAATACTCTCTTTTTGTTATTCAATTAGGTGTTGCACCTTCAGGGGTGAATAACACAAAGACATAAATATGATAATAAGCAGCTGGAGGTGTGCAAGGTAAACACTTCCCGCAACATTTCCCGCACACACTCATCTCAAGAGAACAGATAGAAATCATTTTTAACTTAACAATGAGGGAAAATGGATGTAAAAACATTCTCCATGCAACAATATGCACTGTACTGGATTCTGACATGTATCTACAGGCTAGCCTAAGGATGGTTTGAACTATTTCAAATAATTACTGAAGGGCCGATCGTTAATGTGCACATCCTCATGGTCGGTTTCAGGATCGCAAATGAAAGCACGGTCGTGTTGGACACAGGAGATGGGTTTTGGGGAAGGCGCGAGTGCTCAGATGCTGGACGTGGACAGGATGTCCTCCACCAGGTGCTTGTAGACCCAGGCGTCTCCCTTCAGCCTCTGGCGGCGGACTCCCACCACCTCTGGCCTCTGCAGGAGGCACACCTCCAGCTCAAACGCCATGGTAACCTTCCCAAAGTCGTCCCAGGTCTGACACTTCAGGGTGTATCTGAATGGCGCAGAAAACAAAGGTTAATGTTGCAACTGGTCCGAAACTGGGAACAGGATGTGGGACTTTCTTTTTCAAATCTTTTTTTTTTTTTTTTACCCTTTCTGAGTGAAGTCAACGTTTTTCTCCGGCAGGATTGACAGGATCTGGTTCAGGACCTGGTCTGGATTGGTCTGACTAGTCAGAGTCACGTTATACTGAGCCTAGAAGAGGAAACAGTGATAAAACCATTCTGGGAATTAAATGCAATTGTAATTGCATGTATTTCTGGGACAAAATCATAAGTAAAACAAAGGGAAAAAAAGATGAAAGAGTGAGAATTGGATTAAAACATAGGACCACTATTTGAATATGGGGCTTTTGTCAGTGCGTTTGATAACTTTTGATGCCTTAATAAAAACAAAGAAACCTTAAGTAAGGTCTGACCCGCTTTGTTTGGAAAGTGCTGTGAGATAACTATTGTTGTGATTTGGCGCTATAGACATAAAATTGAATTGGAAAACAAAAAGAAGATGACTTTTGACACAGGGTCGAGTCATATTTCATTTTGGCATCCTCATACCTTAATCTTGCGCGGGCCATCGCGGAGGGCTCGTTTCTTGCTCGGGGTGAGCATGTTGATCATCTTATCCAGGCCTCTCTCCAGGGAACCAAACACCTTCCCTCCTCTCTTTTTCTTCCCACTGTCCCCCGTGACAGCCATGTCTAGCGACCTGGACCTGAGGAGCAAACACATCAGCCCTGAACTTCTCACTGCGTCTCCTTTTTCAAAGCTTTGCCCTCCTCTCAAACCCCACAGAGTCTCTCACCATCCTGTGGTCCACTCACCTTCGCTCTGGACTGAAGGCCAGTATTTCAAAGTGTTCAGGGTCCTTGCTCTCTGCTGCTCTCTTCTTGTTGTGTTCCTTAGATCCACTGTCAACACCTGCAACATAAACCAAAAAGCTATTTTAGACGGTAGAAGACGCTTTTAGAAGAAACATCCAACAGGTAACTCAATCGGCTTAAATCCTAACAAAGTGCGCATTGCATCAAATTCTTTAAAAAAAATCTGAAACTTGAACTTGACTGCTAAATCAAACCAACTCAATTAATCTGAGCGTTTGCTTTTTGGACAGTAATGGAGGCAATTTTGATCTACACGTTGCCTGCAGTCACTCAACGTCAGAACCGGCCCGTCGCTGTGCTGACACGTGTTGGCAGCCACAGCTGCTGGGAATGATGGAATAATGCCAGGGAGATGTAGACAAGTGAGCTCAGTGATTTGGAAACACTTTGATTTCACAGGGTCTGACATGAAGCTGAGCCCAACGCACTGCGCCGCCTGGAGTCTCCACAAAAAGGAATAGCAAAACAACCCTGTAGCAGGAAGTTAAAAGGAAGCAATTGGTCTCTTTTGACTGCCACAAAAACAGTTCAAACTGTTTTGGTTTGGAGGAAAAAAACTCGTCACATGTCAATGCAACTATTTCTGGATTTATTTCTAATGAGGATATCTGGTGTTGTGAGATGTTTTGGGTCTGAAGACAGATGGTAATTTTATTTTTTTTGACCGTGCCATTGATCCCCATTCAAGCTTCTCCAGTTACTGAATAAAAACTAAACCAAGATGTAAAACAAAACTAAGATGTGGTGCCTCACAAAAGCTGCAAAAAGGTTCAGGTAAAAGCCGTTTTGCACGGAGCTGGCTGGCTCCGACTTCGGATTTGTGAATACCAAAAGAAAAAAAGAAGAAAAAAAAGAAAACACATGAAGACACACAAAAATGCAGCGACTTAACAGAGAGCTGGGCTTTGGAGGTGAGAGAACACATGTCACTACAGCCCGTGTGGGACGGCGAGCAAAGGGAGGAGGCAGCTACACCTGTCACAGCGCACGCCTGGGGACACCACAGCCACGTCCTGCTCCACACACACACACACACACACACACACACACACACACACACACACAC